TCCAATTTGTTGTCAATTCTTCATCTTCTTCTTTGTCTTCTAGCAAGACTTCCAACTTTTTTTGCAACTCTCTATTATTTGCTTAAACGAAAAACTCCATTTTACTTGAATCTAATAATTTCTTCTCATTTTAAAAAAAATAAAAATATTACTTCTCAAACTTATTTAATAACTTTATTGCTAGAAGATCCTTCTTTGGCCTTTCAATCCATTTAAAAAATAACTTCTTTATAATCATGTCACTATCTTCCAAGAAAAATTCATCCTTCAATACTTGAAGAAATTTCTCCCATAAACCTCCAAAATGTCCTATAAGAGACTTTATTTGATTTCTTATCTCTAATATAGTAGTTAATTCAAATAATTGAATAATCTTCCTTTTTGAAACATGCTTCAATTTCATTTCTTTTATATAACACCTTAAATATTTTGTAATATCTTTCCCTTCAAATTGATCAATCTTATCTACAACTACCTATAATGCTTTATTTTCCATACCTTCTTTGGTATCTTTAATTTATTGATATTGCATGAATAAGGCAAAAGCCTCAAACATGCTTACAAAGTTGAAATCAAAATACATACCTTGTTTTCTATTAATACCACCACTTGTAGCTCCAATTGAAGCACCACCCATAGCTCTTCCTTCAATTCTTTTGCCTTCTTTTTTCATAACTTAAATAATCTAAGAATACCAAATAGCTTCCACCACAAGCCTTTCATATCAAGTTCACCAAATATATCATATTACGTAAAGTCTTACTCAAGAATGCACTAGATACTTAGTTGTAGATGGTGGAATAGAAATTAAAACAATAAAATCTTAATTCTTATAGAATATTACACAAACTCTAATTAAATCTTAACAATGATAAGCAAGTTTTAATCAAATTCAAAAGAAATCTTAAAAAAATTACAAAAGAATAATAAAAAATCTTAAAAGAATTCAAAAGAAATTGACAATAAATCTAAAAAAAATCCTTGAGAAATCTTAAAGAAATATTAGAATAATCACAAATATATCTTAAATAAATTTCAATCAAATCCTAATTTAATCCTAGTTGAAGTCCTAATAGATTTCAATCAAACCTTAGATCAAATACTAAATCCTAAGTAAATCTTAAATTCTAAGCAAATCCTAAATTCTAAAAAAATCCTAAATTATAAGTCTTAAATCAAATCCTAAATCCTAATTCAATCCTTATTCTAAACTAAACCCTAATCAAAACCTAACCCTTATCAAAACCTAATCAATTCAACCTAATCCTAGCACAATTTAGAATCTTAATATCTATTGATTAAACTATTGATCTTGCTTAAAATTTTACAAAATTTTCAGCAACTAAATTAAAAACAAGGATACAAAATTTGAAGAGAATCAAACTTACTAAATAGAAGAAAAATATCAAAATCAGCTTAGGTGTCAACCAACCTCCTTCTTCAACCTTGATGTTGCTTTTATAGTACCAATATCTCTTTCTCACATTATTCAATTAATTTTAAAATTCACATATGTATAACAAAATAAGTCTATTACCTTTATACAGCAATTTTTTTCCAATCCAACTAGTAGATTGCTAAAGATCTTAGCAATTATAACTACCTTTCACAATCCAATTTTTGAGACTTCATACTACTTGAAATTCAGTAACCTTCAAATCAACTATTTGATCAAGTTCAAACTTATAGCATATACTTCAAACAACGATTTTCATAATTCTTTAAAAATTCAATCATAGATCTACTACTAAACTCATGAAATTCTCCAAAACATAGTATCTTTTTTATTTCACAAATTCTAGAGTCATCCAAAATAATTTTAATTTTGCAAAGCTCTTATAAATTAATTATACACTCAAATCACTTAAAATAAATGCTTAAAAAAATCCTATTAAGTATACTCTCAAATCTTGCTTTTCAATCTACAAAAGAATCTTGGAATTACCTTAGGTGCCTAGTTTTGTGCCTTAGGATCTCGTTTCGACCCAAGTTGATAATTGGTCCTCTTTGGGTATCAAATTTTGCCTTTTTGAGTTAATTTTTCTTCAAATTAACTCCTAATTTCCTCCTACATATACTCATATCCTTTATTTTTTTAATCTATATTGTTTTGCCTTATTTATGGTCTTACAAAGTAAATAGAAGTCTATTTTTTAAAAAGGTGGCATTTACACCTTTAGTTTTACTTTCTTTTGAACTATTATCTATTTTTTAAGATAATTTTCTATAATATTTAAAATAAGATCTTCTATAATATAATGATTGTTTTCACCATTTTCACCTATTAGTCATATTACATCACAACAATGTGGCAATGTCCTACAGGACCTTCAAAACGTGTTGATTTTGCAAGACACATATCTTAACTTATAAGATAAGTTTTCTATATGTGTGCCACATAGTTAGCTTGTTCTGCAAGCTACCAACATGTAGTTAACTTATTGACTAAGTTTCTAACCTACTAATTAACTACAAACACATATAAAGTCAATGCAACATCTATGAAACTTCTAAGAAGTTATTTTAGAAAATATTATGAAATAAACCTACTCCAACCTACTTCTATTTAATAATATAGAAAAATATTAGACTAAATATGTATGTTTGTGACATCCAATTGTGAAACACCTTTATGATAGCTTCTTATATCTAATCAATTTTTTTTAAAAAGAGCCTTATTGCCAAATGATGCATTTAAGGGCATTTGTTGATTTAACTTTTATTTAAACTACCTCCAAATAATTTTAAAAAGAAATACTATCTATTTCATCTCAAAAACTATTAAGTGAAAACCAACTCTTTATTGTGTGAATACTTCTTGTCTCATACACCTCTACATATATATAAAAACATCATTTCTAGTAGAATGTTTTTTGATAATGATAGTTTTTGATGATTGTAAGATTTCTATTGAAAAGAATTATGAAAAAAATAAATATATAAACTTGTATTTTATTCTTACGTATACATATATATTAAAATTTAGTTGTATATTTTATTTTAGTAAAAATAAATTATAAAATTATGCAATCAATTTACACATGATTATAAATATAACAATATTATTAAAAAATTAAAAAATTTAAGGATTCTTGTAGAGGTTGTTTATACACCAAAAAGAAAGTGTTTACTTAGTCAATTACTTTATCTATTGCTACTTATTCCTACTTAAATCTATTATCATTGTATATGTTTTTTTTGTTATTCAATAATGTATATTTGTACCATGATTAAAAAATAAAACCTGATTTTTTATTATACTATAATATCTAAAATAAAATTTTGTTAGTAATTTGATAGAATAATTTGTTAGAATAATTTATTAGTAATATTATTAGAATAAAGTAATCTATATAAAGTTATTAAAATATAATATAATCATATAAATTTTAAGTATTAGATAAATAAATTATATATATATATATATATATATATATATATATATATTAGAATATATAATTTCATATAAAGTATATTAAATAGTCTTTAATAAATACTAAAATATAAGAAAGAAATTTACAATTCCAAGAATGTTATTGCTTTTTTTTTTGTTTTTGTTTTTTTTTTTTTAATATTATAGCTAATTAAAAAGTAAAGAAGAAAATTTCTATGAACCAAATCTAGTGGATTATTTTTTAAAAGTTATAAGTTGCTTATACATTAACTTTGTAGATGTAAAAGATATCAATGAGAAGTTTTTGTAGCCACATGGAGCATTCAACATTAACTTTTGATTTCACACTTATTTACAAAACTTCTTTGATGTTTTAAAAAAAGATATAAATTACTATATACATGTATAGATTTTTTTATTTTTTAAAAAATATTAAATCGCATTTGCAATGGATAGTTACTTCATTTAGAAATTAATAAAATATAAAAAAATGATAATAATTTTATCATACAAACTTCAAATCACAAATAATTTTATTAATTAGATATTCTTTTAAAGACTACTTTTAATGGATAAAAGCATGAGTATTATAATTTAAAATTAAAAACCGAGATAAGTAATTATATTATAATCAGTGTAAAATAAAATTTATTCAAGAGATTTAAACTTACAAATGTTTTCTTGAAATCTATATTGAAAAGACCATTTTTTTTAAAAAAATCATATATTAAAATGTAGGTATATGTATGAATGAGTATATATATTATATGATATTGTGTAATAATATGTTGGTAGAATTGAAGAAAAAAGTGCTTATTGTTTAAGCTTCTAGAGCAAAATAAATATCAAGTAGTAAAAATTTAAAATATGTAAAAATTATAAATTTATATATTTAATCATATACACTACAAACCAAAACCATAAGATTCTCATAATTGTATATTTTATATTTTTATAATAAAAATAACTATTTTTGTTTTATTATACTTAAAATTTCTCCTCCATTGCTTCACTTGGTTCTAGTGTGGCATGTTGCTGTGATATTGTGTTATACTTGCAAAAACCTAAGTTGTCGGGCATCACAATCTCTAGCATCACCATCCATCCATTCACTTGTTCATCCATGTTTGGGCAATGAGGAGGCTTCCTTGTGTCTTTGTTGTATACCTAAGTTGTTTTATATAATAGATTGTACAAAACCACATCATATCTTATTGAATCATATCATATCAGAATTGATATGTTCTGTTATGTGTGAGGAGGGAGATTATCATTGCAGGTCACCAGTCATGGATTCCTGAATGCACATCATCAGAATACGAAGATTGGGTGGGCAGAGGGAAATCTTCATCCTCCCTTAGAACCACAGTGATAGGGGTGAAAGCGGTAACAAGCGGGCTAACCACAGGACCTACGCCCATCACCCCGCATATCCTTGTTCCCAATCTCACCACGTGTCTTCACCCAAACGAGGAAGATGACTTGCCATCTTGGGTGCCACATCACCCGTGCTTCAGTCTATGCCACGTCGGATGACTACCAGGCCATACGGATGTATATACATAACGTAATTACATTCATCCACCTCCCAGTCGGTCCTTCGACACCACACAAGAAGTTGCACTTCGCAGTGTCTCTCGAACATTGCGGCACTGGAGCAATCGGTACCGGAGCTTAGATTGATTGGGTTACAGGAATCGCGATGAGCTCGATTCAGCTCTTCTTCCGCATCTTATCGCTTCCAGGAACAATTTCGATGTGTTTGCGCCGCTTTTGGAGTTTGTGTTATGGGCCATGGAAGTGTAGGAGGATTTTGTGTGAAGGAGGACGTGCAGTTTGCTTAGTTTGAGAGGCGGTGGGATTTGGAAGTTGTGAGCTCCACATATCGACGCGTGTTTTTTAGTGTTATTTTCAACAATTTACTAGTGAGGGTGACGACAGTATATTGTTGGTTACTATTCAGCGAGAGCAGTGGTGGTGTGTCCAGGGGGGAGAAGCGGTGATGACGATGGAGTTGGGTTCGTGGCGAGTTTGAGTTGGTGTGTATCGTGTCAATGTGTCCACATGCAATAGAATAGCGTGGTGCGGGGAATTTTTCTCGGAAGTTGCACAGTTTTTGAACATTGCGGGGATTGCTCAATTTTCTGGGAAGTTTGATGCGGTTGGTTTAGTGTGAAGGACGTCTCATTATAAACTAAGTTTTTTTTCCGTCTTCGAGGGGTCGTTCATGCGCTTGGGAAGGTTGAAGTTCATATTTTCAATATGGTTGCAAACAAGGTGGTTATGGAGCAAGATGCACAGAGATTGCAGCAAGCTCAAGAGCATAATGTGGGGAAGTACATTATTGTAAGGAGCTCATTTCCTACCTCTCGAGCTATCAATTACTTCATTAGCTGTTGTGAGGACATGGGTGTGATGTCCACCGGGCAAAATTCTTTTGTAGAGCTTTCCATAAGTAGGTTTGGATACCGCGGGGTACCGGTTGCGGTAACAGGCAAATAGGTCGTCTTTCTTCAGGACAAGGATTTATGCTGATGCTAATGCTAAACTGCCGACAGTTAACGTGCTTAAATTTTTAGAATCGGTGGACATATCGTGGTTATCTTTTTTAGGTCAACCCGTCCAGAGTTTTTTTTATAAACCGTATTGTTAACTATTATGATTTACGGCACCTTGGAATGGTGGTAATACAACCTCACTATGTCCTGTCATTTCCTAGTCGGATATGTCAGTTAGAGGGATATGACATGCGAATTGCATTGGCAAGTGTCTTTGGACTGGATACATGTTCTGTAGGGGAGTGACTAGTGCTTTAAATGCCCTTCGTACCATATTCTCCAGCTATGAAGAGACGTTTCTGAATTCCATAATGGTTTTTGTGCAGAATGGAATTCAAAGTAGGGAGTTTCGAATTTTTATAAGTGGAGCACTGTCTGGTGCTACGTCAAAAACTTTCACAGCACCGATTGAGACAGTACGGTGATTACACTAGTCCTCTCAATCAACTGATGTGTATATTGAGAGTTGAGCGTTTGGTTTTGGTTTTTCTTACTTGGCAGTCATTGTAAAAACATTTAGAACAAAACAATAGGAACCATCCTTTTTGCTTCTACAGAGGTGTATATTAAGATTCCTTCACAGGGTTTCTCAAATTTGAAATCGTGTTTTATACATTTTTGCAGAAGTCATTTGTATGAAAAAAAATTCGCATGGCCGATCTAGGGCCATGTCTGGCACATTTGTGTCTGCTAAAATCTGCTGCAGGGGGAACCAAGAAGAATGTTTGAATATTGATGTAAATGTGTACTTGTTTCGAGTGCAGAACACGATTGATTGTAGGGGTGGGGCCGCAGAGCATAACTGGGAGCATTCGTGAAATTATCCACAAATTTGGTTGGATAGGTCTTTGGCGAGGAAATGGTATAAACGCCTTGCGTAGTGCCCCACTTCAAGCGATAGAACTCTCGGTGTATGAGTGTGTGAAAAAGCGTATTTATTCAGCTCATAAACGCTGGGCTATTGAGGGCCCTCCACAAGTAAATGTTCTCGGTCAAGCGGTTGCATTTCCGGTTCTCTACGCTTCACCGTCCATGGTTGCCGGCGCCGTGGCGGGAGTGGTGAGCACAGTTTCGTGCTATCCCTTGGAAGTGCTCAAGGTATGCTGCTCTAACTGGTTGTAATAGTTTTGATATGCAATGAGTTTTTCCCTCAGTTTTATGCCTTGTTGTCTTAATTTCATTGCATTGGATAAGCGAGCTATGAGGTGAAACATTTCGTTGAAACGTACTAAGTGTTACCCCACAACGGAGTTAGTTTTTTTTTAACATGGAGGACTTCCTGCGGCACATGAATGCATCTTTGAAATTGTGCAACTTCTACCTTTATTGGGACATGCACTAGACTATTACAAAGCATATGTATGGGAGACTGTTAGAACTTGCTCATGTAAACAAGATTATGGAGTAGAATTTGGACATTCTTTGCAATGCTGAATTATCGCTTGGGACAAGGATTTACTCTCAAAATTCAACTGTGGTGGAAACGAGTGTAGGATCGGTTTACAGTGCACACAGGAGCTTACAGGAGCATATGGCATGCTTTTGGAAAAATTGTGCACGAAGAAGGGATGGGAGCCATGTATAGGGGATTGCTTCCTACATTGATAGGACTAGTGCCGTACTCGGCTGCATATTATTTTGTTTATGATTCGATTACTCGAGAATATAGACAGTATACAAAGAGAAGGCAATTAGATTCAGTGGAAACTCTGTTTATAGGAGCTTTTGCAGGTATTCCTCGTTTCTTAAGTCTGTACTGTATGATATTGTTGTGCCTAACAAAGATTAACTAGTCTATGGAAAACTTGCATTATATGTTGCAGATTAACAGCATGAGGTTGTGATAATTTACCGCCTCTTTTAACTTCAAATATTTTTCTTCACTTGTCCTATTGATTCCTCGGACGGGAGACTGGATAATCATCAATATTTTTTTGCCTGTTCTCTTATTACTGCTGATTCTTATGATATTTAGCTCTCGGCGTGGATGGCAGGTTTGGTGTCGAGTGCTGTGACTTTCCCGCTTGAGGTTGCAAGGAAGAGATTGATGGTCGGATCTGTTGCCGGACGGAGTACACCTCGTAATTTTGGCCATACTATGAAAATAATTTTGCAGGAAGAAGGTGTAAGAGGGTTCTACAGGGGAATTTCCGCCAGCTGTCTAAAAGTTATGCCAGCATCAGGGCTGTCCTGGATGTGCTATGAGAAGTGTAAAGAAGTTCTCCATGTTGATACCCAACAAACTTGAGAAAAATTATTCAATTGTCGATTTAGTTCCTCGAAATCAAGAGATAACCAAGGCTGCCTTATCATAGCTATTCGTTAGACGTGATGATGTCTTCAACTTTCAGGAAGATGTTTCCGGGTTCATGTGTATTACGTGCTTTGGTTATGTTGCCCCATATTTCACGAACAAAAGTTGTCTACAAGAGTGGCACTAATTCTTTTGAACATCCATTACTTGGTGTTTCTGGTTGATACAATTTGATCAATCTACTATATCTGAGTTAGTATGCTTTAAAAATTGTTGGATATTCCGAGCCTGTTCTTACATGGAAAGAATAGCATTATCGTCTGGGTGACAGGGAACTTAGAAAGTTGTTTATCAACACACTGTGCGGTATGCACATGCTTGCGTGGAGGTAGTTTATATTTCGAAGACTTGCATCCAATCAAGCCACTTCGCTTGTACTTGTTCTGTCTTTTAGTAAGTGGTTCTTGTAGGTTTGTGGGGAAAAGTCGTAAGATGTCAGTCAATGGATAAAAAGATTGGAGTTTTAGGTCTTAATATAGAAATAAGAAGTATCAACGCAGAGGGTCTGATTACATGGCTTGCATTATTACTTCCTATTATTGATTTCAGCCCATTAATCTTAGTGTGCTAATTGAATACTTTAAGAGCTTGATTATATCATTGTTCTTGCAATTGGCTGGTATACAGCTGTTGAACTAAACATCTTTACTCATATACACAAGGTGGAGTACTAAGTTTGTAACTTGTGCTTCAAAGGCTGAAGTAGATGTTTTCAAATTCTACACTTAAGTTCTAATTTTTGGAATTTTAAATGATTATAAATTCAATCTTAAAAAGATCTGTATTCTAAGTATATTCAGAATGATAAAGTGGAATAGTGCAGCAAACTAGTAGATAAATATCTGCCAAATATTATATATATATATATATATATATATATATTCATATACTTATTTGTAACATCCTAACCTTGCTTTCACTTGTACAAATCCATCATGGACATCTATGTTCTGTTTCTAAAATCTATCTGAAGTCAAGGTTTGGAATACATACTCATGTTACTTTAATATATTTATCAAATAATAAATGTCATAAGTTTTATTGGTCTCATTTTCAACAACAACAAATAGGTTTTATGAAGTTTTAAATAAGGGGTCAATGATTTGGAACAAATTTCGGTATTTGAAACATTAAGAAAAATGTGTGTGTACTTTTTTTCTAACAATATGAATTTTTTATCTTGAGGTTGGAAGTTCTTTTATTGCAAGAGAGTACAAATAATATGTAAACAAGAAAATATATATATATATATATATAGGTATATTTAAAGCTTCATTTATTTAATACCAAATTTATCCTTTAAAATATGCAGAGAGTTTTAAATATTTAATGAGTATTTCAATCTGAATATGTAGTTTCAAAATATTAATTTTTTTGGTTTTATAAATTTTACAAAGAAATTTGATTTTAAAAATGAACATGATGTTAAAGATCTACGTGTTAACATTATAATTATTTTTAAAAAATTCAATGAAATTTGAAACTTCAAATAAAAATTGAAGCAAAATAAAATGCCAACCATATACTTAACATTAGTAATGCTTCTAAAGCTTTTATGTAAAATTAACCAAAATTATAAACACAATGTGATGTGGACCTAACAAACGGAAGGTTAATTCATGTGAAGCAGTTGCATCAATGAATCCCTTGCAGTTGCTGAATAAATTGACCAATTCAACATTGTTATGAATACTGGCTGTGGAAGCAGAACAGAGAGCAAACGCATTGGCAAGTAGCATGTGAGCCTGCACTCAATTCACCATTTTGCAGTGAAAATCACCCAGCTCGCTAAAAAAATGGAAGGTTGGGATGAGTTGCGTCTAAAAGGGACGAAACAATTAGAATTTTCATCTACACGCAGTTAATAACAAGTATCTTGCGCTTCATACAATTCAAATGTATAATTCAGTTACATCATGAAGTGAATGTCATCTGTGGTGTTGCGAAATTTTCATCGTTCAGTCTTCAGTATCTTGTATGAACACATGGTGCATACATGATTAGGATAGTGCGTGGGCAGGAACCTTGCGTCGTTTTGAAGCTCTATGCACAGCAACTTCCGACACCTGTTTTACAACTCAAATGTCACAATAAAATAAACAAAATAAACTAGAGATGAACTGCGTGGAACTTGTGTTTATGCAGGATTCTGTAGCCTTCAGGTCTTTGGAAACTTTCAAACTCTAATGAAACCGCTTTTTCCATGACGTATCAACACACAAGCTCGGCCATGTTAAGATTCAGTTCAAATCCAAACGCCGTAACGGTCTGGAAAGCGCCACTGCACAAACTACCTTTCAGAACAAAAAAATAGAGAAAAACACCTTCTAGTTTCACCAAAGAATTCTTAACTCTTTGGAGTTACCTGATGACCCTAAAATCCTAACACCGAAGTAAAATTACAAACCCTTAAAACCTTCTTCACGCTACACACACTGATGGGTGATTCATCAGGAGCATGGGCGTGTTAGGTTCCACCCTCTGTTCGCCTAGTTTTCGGCCAAAGTGATCGTGCGCATCGGAGAGCTGTGAATGCTGTTACTCCAAAATGTTCAACGTCCAACCAAAAACTACGCCAAGTATGCCTGTTCAAAAGCAACCGGTCTCTACTCGAAGTTGAAGTAGACAAGTTTTCGACCGAGTACGTCCTGGGGGTCTGAGCACGCTGTATTACACTTACGTAGCTCAGTATGCCATGCTATAAAGTTTGAAACTGGGGTTCTTGGGTCCTTCCAGAATGACCAGATCGTCATCCCTGTGCACCTTCACCGAGTTTTCTTTCGTCATTTTCCGCAAATCCTTGGGAAGTTCGGGTTTGAGTCCAGTGCATCCAACCAAGTTGAGAACCTCCAAAGATGGAAGACTGGCAATCTCAAGAGGCAGCCTATTGAGTCTTGTACAGCAGTTCAGGGACAGCCGTTGAAGCGACTTAAGGTTCCGAATTTCTGAAGATAAGTGAGCCAGAAGCTTACAGTGGTCCAAGTCGAGCGCCTGAAGGGTAACGATGTGGAAAACCTCTTCCGGAAGACGGACTAAGGAAGTACAGGAGTTGAGGGATAGTTTTTGAAGGGATTCCAATTTTCCAATTTCACGAGGAATCTCCTTTAGACTAGTGCATGATCCCAAGTGTAGTTGAAGAAGAGATGAAAGTTTTCCTATATCCTTAGGTAGCTTCTCCAGCCTGGAACATCCAAAGAGGAAGAGCGACTCTAAGTTTCTCAACTTTCCGATCTCTTGAGGTAATGTGGTGATTCCAGACTGGCTAAGATTAAAAGTAGTCAGCTTTGTGAGCGAACCAAGCTCCACGGGTACTCTGATCAAACATTTACATCGCGACAGGTTCAGTTTCTGTAGCCCAAGAAGGTTGCCGATTTCAGATGGTAAAGTGGTGATATTTGTGCATCCCGAAAGGTCCATCTCCTGAAGGTTCGTGAGCTGACCAATCGCTTTAGGAAGTTGCCGAATGCTGAGGCAGTTCTCGAGACGGAAGCGGCACAAGGATTTCAGACTGCCGAACCCAATAGTTAAGTCTTGGAGTTTGTTGCAACTAATGAGATGCAACTCCAATAAGCTCGTAAGAACGAGAATTGTCTCGGGCAGCTCATCCATATTGTTGCACCCAGAGATGGTAAGGTCTCTGAGCTGAGAAGGGAACTGCACAGCAAATAATTTAAGTCATCAATTTCAAATATGCTGACCCAATTTTTTCAGCACGTATCTGTACAATATATGAAAAATAAACACTCAAAAAAGACAGACACATCCAACACTCGCTTTAGAATACCGCGAGCTATTCACACATGATCATGCGCACGCGGGCGACTTATAGGCGTTTGAAGGTGCATCGGATGTTAGGTGATCAGGCATGGAGTCATAACAGTCAGCTCTAAATACCTTAATGCCAAGGTCGATCTCAGTAGCACGGAGAATAACCATTTCCAGCTTCCGCATCTTGCACAACTGAAAAGGTATGCGTACATCTCTTGCGATTTGGCTTTTGCCCCAGTAGAAAACCTGCAGTTGGTTCAAGTTCTTGGTGCAGAATCCTTTTATATTTACATCATGAAGTATGATTGTTCGAACGTTCAGCATCTTCTCCAACATGGTACCCTGCAGGGCCTCTTTGCAGCTTATGAGAGATAGACCTTGAATTTGGCTTAATTCCTACACACAAACAGGGTGGATATCAAATGAAAGATGTATTGTTAGTACCATGGCACCAAGATTGTAGTATACCACACTGTTCATAAGTGCAGTTAACTACGAAGCTGGAACATAATCTAAGAAGGGCACTTACTGAGCCAGGGCTGTCCATCAAAAGCCTATCAGGCAGATGGGCTTGATCCTCAGAATGCACGCGGTTGCCCTGTGTGCGCCGACAAGCAATGGTGTAAAGCAAGTCATGCATCATAACCATATCTGTCCTCCAGGGATGCTCAGAGTATCGAGTTAAATGAGCAATTCCTGCAAAGCTGTCAGTGTCCCTCAATTTCGCATGCACAAGACCAAGATCCACCAGTGTGTCTAATTGAGCCTTCCCGACGATTCGCTCAACTGTTCTCCAGTCCCAATACCGGCAGAATGCAGCAATATCCAAGAAAGCTTCCTTCTGATCAAGGTCCAACTTCTCATAGATCACCTGCATCAAACAAGCAGGAGTTCATTTGCACTCAGCCAAATAACATACATGATGAAAGGCTTGACCGAGAGCAAAGACCACTTGGGTTTAATGCAATTACCATCAGCTTGGCACACATCTGGTCCTCGGAAGTGTCCATCTCCTCTTCGGCCTGTTTCATGCGCTTGATAATTGTTGAACAATTTTCCTCAGTTCGATTAGCTGGTGTAGCGAAATACGAGCCCACCACTTTCACAGCTATGGGAAGACCCTCACATAGAGGCAGAAAATTTTCTGCCAGGTCACCATATTTGGCGAACACCCCATTCATTGAAGACAGCGACTTGACAGGCTCCGATGCAGCATAAGATATAAACAAGGCCTTCGCATGTTCAGCCGTCATGTGCGGAAACTTGTAAGGCAAATAGTTGTAGGCAGGAATAGCAGTCCGACATAATTGGTCCACTTTCGCTAAAATTGATAAAGAAGAACAAGTGATCAATACGGAGCTTTGATTCGACAGCACCTTCCATAGACTATGAGGGAATAGCTCTCCGACCAATCTCACATCATAGAGATTGTCTATTGCGATCCGGACGGCCTTACTTTGCTGTTTGAGTTTCTGGAGCTGGTAGAGGATTGCATTACGCCCTTGAGCAGAATTTGAGAACTCTTTCCGCCCACCCCCCAGCTGTAATAACAAGGAAGACTGCAACCTCCGGACATCCTCATTGAGTTCAATGTAAGCAAACAATCGTTTCTCAGATGCTTCGACTTTGGATACAATTTCATTCAACAATGTTGTCTTACCAATCCCTGATTGTCCATATATTCCAATTAAACAGACTCCGTTCTTCTTCATATATTCGGCTATATGACTAATGTGCGGCTCCAATCCAACAATAGAAGGAACTTGCTCTGGTCTTCTCATGACGATTCTGGGTGACCTTGCAATCGGTTGCGAGACACGATTGCCCACCGCTGCCAGAGTTGCAAAATTCAGATTGTCTTGCAAACCTTTAAGTTCCTGCGTGGTCTTCTCAATTTGCTCGTTGAAATAAACATCTGATCGTGGACCAAAACACCCACACCTGAAACAAGCAACGCTGAATTTCATGTGAACACCAGGATTCTGTACAGTATACGTCGAATTTACAAAGAACAGTTGCACACACGTCTAAGGCGCATTGATGTGAAACTGACTGGAACTTTAGCACCAGGCTATTATAATCAATCACACTAAGATCGTTCTCTACCACATGATATGCTTGAACACGCAAGGTTCCTCGATGGACTTACTTTTGAGACTTTTGCTCCAAATGTCGGACGACTGAACAGCAGTAGACAAGTGTGCCAGCTGCCAGCTTGTAGATATCACTGTCCGACTCCAAGTTTGTTTTAAGTTCATCCAATTGCTCGAATATACAATCTGACTTTGATTTCAGCAAAGCCCACTTGCTCTTTTTATCGACCAAGCCCTCCTCTTCAATGCAGTGAGAACTGAGGAATCCTGCGAGTGTGAGGGCCAACTCAAACCAGCTGATGTAACCAGTTTCTTTGAGAATGTCCCACTGCAAGCTTTCAAAAACAGCACTATGGTCTTTGAATAAAGTCTCTGAAACCTGTATCAAGGTTCATATGGCAAGAAAATTTGTCAGAAGAACAAGCGTTGCGAACATCACACCATATGTAAATTCTCTATCTTAAAGTGGATGTGTCCGTTTCTGCGTGGCTACCTTCTTGTAGAGCTCCTCCAGCCTGGTACTTGAGGCCTGTAGAATCTGCTCAATCTGTCGAAGCTCATCGATAGTGATGGAACTACATGGAAAATCCGCAACTGACTCGGTATCACCAGGGCCGTTGTGAGAGAATCTCCTGCTGCTATTGAGACTTGCACTATTGACAGTGTCCAAAACAAGCCTTGGTGCAGCGCATTTTGGACTCGTTTTTGTTCCATTCTTAGAAGAGACGCTTCCAGGGGAACTGAAGTCCAGCTGTTTGGAAACAGTACTAGCCTGTTTGGCACCGTTTGGACTGATGTTGTTAGCACTGCTACTGCTGAAAGCTACAGACAGCCGTGGACTATCGTTGGACTTCGTCAGTGAACCCCTTGGGCTTTCAAACCTGTCGAGTTTGAACACTGATTTTGGGCCGTACTTCGGACTCCGTGGAGATTTCTGATTGCTCAACAAATTTTTCGCCTCTGGAGGACTTTGCTCAGTTTGCTTACCCATCTAGTTAGCCTTTTTTCCTTCAAGACTAAACAGACTGATAAACAAAAAACGGCTAGGTAGCCGTGCAGACCCCCGATCTCATCATACTAAATGAAGAAATGCCTCACAGCAGCGAAATATTCTTGGGCCAAGGCAGACATTCCTCCCCTTGCTGTCAAGCCAATAAGCAAAAGAGACTCACCTTCTACATCGTTATAAAAACAATAACTGATAGGGCCAGATTTTCAACACGGAACGGTTAATGGAAGTTCTATACTAGAAACCTTCTCATCTAATAACCTGGAAATAGTTTGTATTATATATCTTCTATATCCTAACACAATTAGGCGCACAATTTTCAATCATGTCTCTGAAGTCTCGTCACAATATTCAATCATGTCTCTGAAGTCTCGTATGCAGTTGCACGAACTCAGTTTGTTTTGTGAAGTGAAGTGAACTTAAAGCCCATGCGGTCGAGCGTGTTCCGAAAGAGTTTTTCCATGGCACTCGTAGCCATCTTTCAGTTCAAAGGACTCTTCCATGACTTGAAAAACATGAGCACCCTGCATGACAGACATAGATGTCAGAATATGCATTTAATAGACATTGACCGATTTAGTATTGCACGAATCTTAAGACATGTACATTGTAAAGAGGTGGTCAGCCTTTCTGCTTTGATAATAGCGGTACCAGCTTTTTGAATCGGTTGACTGTCCTCACAAGCTCACACAATTGAGCACGGTCACTTCGTCTGCACAGAGAAAGGTCACACCCGGTGTGGATGTTCTATGTGTAGTACTGATTGTCAGCTATCGATAAAGTGAATCTGTACCACATTTTTAAACCAAACTCTAACTGCAGAATGAAAGAGTCATTCTGCAGTTAACCGACACCAGACAATTCGCTAATCATCAGGTTCGTGAACTCTAACGTTTGTTACCGGCCGGTTTGCCGACAGGTTAAAACATTACCACTCCATTCTCCTACGCCCACAGTTAAGATAGAAATGGCGTTTGATACTGAGTCTATCCTAATTGTTTTAAACTACATGTAGTAGTAGAAATGATTTCATTCACTGAAACTAAGACATACCAATCACGTTTCGCATCTCCTCGCCTCAAGGAGTAGCGCCAGAAACGAAACTCTACAATTAAGGCTGACATTTGCCATAGTTTTACAACCCACTGGAGCGAGAGAGAAGAAGGGGAGAGAGCGAGAGCGAAGCACAGAGCATGGGAACAGAAATGCTGTAAAAAATAAATTACATTAAATTAAATGAGGTGCAGCGCTACAACTACGTGGAGTTTCAAAGTTCAGACCACAGTGTGATTGGGTCCAAACAGCTGAAGACAGAGCGCTCTTCACGAGGAGTGAGATACTGGACTCATGGCTTCCCATAGCTGGTCGTCTGCGGCGGATGCTTAACGTGAGGCATCACAAAACTAAGAAACCAAACCGCAAGAACGACCCAGAACACAGACCACCAAAGCTGATTACAGCAACACCCTTCAAACAAGACACAAGCAAACCACTCTCGTCAATTGTGCCGGACTCACCAAAGACACGAAAACGAGGCTGCAACACCATATGCTACAAAACTATATGCTGCAACACCACAAAACTGCTTTCAACACATGCACCACATCGGCCACCAATAACCTCGGCAGACACAACCAAGACTACCCAACTGCATTCCTCTCCACAGGAACCAAGCCCGAATCTACCACAACACCCCCACAACATCAAATCACGCACAAAACCCAAACGCATCGTCGTTGCAGCCACTGCCCAGGTTACCTCCACACGCCGTTCAAGAACCATCCGCGTTGCATCGCAGAACCCACTAACAAAAGAAGAAACGAAGGAAGAGGCAATGAGAGCACAGTCGTGGCAGCAGCAAAGCAAAGTGGGGAGAAAGAGGAAGGGAGGCGAATTCAACGGCAGAAGAAGAAGGCGCTGCTACAGGGCCATGAATAATGAGGTGTAGAAGTATCGGTTGTACAAACATACAGCCTACTTTGTGCTGAAGAGGCTGGCTACTAACTAGTGCTGCTTTGTGCTGTGTGCTTGTGCTTGTGCTGCATGAGCTCATGTCATCATCATCCGTTCCGCCAGCAAGCAACAATACCAGCAATGCACTACGATCACCATCATCACCATCAGCAGCAGGGGAAGGAGGGAGCAGCAGCCGCAGCAGTCCCGCGAGCGCGATGAATCAAATCATCCAAATCAAAATTCCAAATCAAACTTGGCCTTCCTTCAATCCCTGCCTCGCTCCGCGGAAGTTTGAAGGCCAAGTCTGCCGTCCTTGGCTTCCCCGCCTGCTCCTTCCTACCCTCGCCACGTGAGCCCGATCAATGGATGGATGATTCTTCGTAATGAAGTATCTCGTCCGTCGTGTGTTCATCCGTCGGGGTGGTCAGCTTTTGGGGGGGGTGGAATCTTCTTCTGAGGGGCATTACTGGCAGCAGCAGCGAGATATTATTGTTATTATTATTATCGGGGCCTTACATTTATTTAATAATGGGCTTGGCTTGCGACATTCTGGCTGTACTTGTGAACGCGAACATGAGAGCGCGAACTTCATGGTGCCTTCAGATTCAAGAGTACTCCACCCCCCTTCCTTGATTGCTTGCTTGTCTAATTTGTTGATTTTGTTGCACTTTTTCTTTTGGGTTTTGGAGGTTTCTCAATCTTAGTCTTTCTCAAAGTTGTGGTTTCTCACCTTGTCCTCTCTGTATAACGAATTCCTACGATTATTTGTGATTGTATGTTTATTTTAAAGGATTGGGTACATGCTATTTTCTAAACTTGCACTTTCTAAACAACATCACATTTTACTTTGGATGTAAAATTATTTGATTGTGACTATACACAAATAAAGAGTAAATACTGTTTGATTATTAATTGTCATGTTTGTAATTATAAATGTTCTTTTAAATAAAATGTGAAAATCAAAAATATTGTTGCACATGCTGATTTTTTATGTGTATATATATATATATATATATATAATAACATTACAAGTTAAGACTTCTAAACATTTCTAAAATCTTATTAAAAAAAATTGAAAATTTTTGAAATTTTTTATTTAGAATATTTTTTGTTTGAAAAAATTACAAAATTTTCATGTATACATATGGACAAAAAAGTTTTAAGAGTTTTTATGAACTATTAAAATTTATAAACTATATTTTAAAATAGGCTGTTACTAATGCTAAAATTGTGGTGGATGACAAATTGTGGTGGCAACAGCAAAAAATGTCTTATTAATTCAAGGATAAAAAGCCTTATTATGTGTTAAATATATGTTTGTATTATTGATACAATGTTATCTTGTTATAAATTTATTTTATTTTTTTAAAAAAAATAAATTGTTTATTTAAATTGAATGTTGATTATGTTTTAACTTTTTTTAAAAGAAAATAACATTAATTTTTTTTGAAATTGTACACCATGCACTCATATCTTAAAAAGATATTATTCTATTACTTAAAAATAAATTTATTTTATGTTCTGTAATAAAAAATAAAAATAATACATCTCAAAATTTTGAAGAAAAATGATGAATTTGGTAAACACATGAAAAATAAGAATAAAATTTCTACAAAATTTAATTTTAATCGTACATATATATATATATATATAGTATGTCTTTATGTTAATTGAATATCTGCTTCAGTTTATATATTTAATGATCTACAGAGTGGAATCTTTTCTTTCTATTTAGAAATAATTGAAAAAGTTCTGCTTTATTTTCATCTTTAACTGACTAACGACATTCAGACAGAGATTCCAGACTAAACATAGTTTATAAGAATATTTCAGTTGTTAAACAATCGTTCAGGAAAAAAAAATCAATAATACTTTATATAGTATATTTTAAAATCATTAAATTCAGCATAGTCTAAATTGCAGATATCATTTTTACATGAAATTCATGATTCATACATAAATTAGATACTTGTTTTTTTAAAAGTACTTTCTTAAATAGAAATAAATACTGTATATATAAACACATATAATTATTTAGACTTTATTTTTTAAAAAATATCTATATTTTACAAAAATATAATTTTTTTAAAAAATAGACATACAATACAAATACTATAACATATTTGCATCAAAAAAAATATTACAAAAAATATAAAAAGATTTAAGGACTTTTGGAAAGAAACAAATATGTAGAAGTTATTTAAATATTTAAGCTAAAAATAGTTGAATATTACTTTTAATTTATACATATAATCTTAAGAAAAAAATAACATTTTACATAAAAAAATAATATATATATATATATATATATATAGATGGTGTATATTTCTTCAAACAAATATTAAAAAATTAAAAATATAGTGGTTATTTAAGCCATAGATAGTTCTAAAATTTTCAAGATAAGAAAGAAAAGTTTATATAGTCATATTTAACTATGAATTATTAATATGTAATTTGTGAAGTTTTTTATATGATAATTAGAAAGTTTCATGATTGAGAGAAAAATACAATGAAAATAGCATTTAAAAGAGAAAAACACTATATTTAAAGTCTAAAAAACACGTTATAAAAAAAACATCTCATGGAAGGATAAATCAAGAAGATAAACTAGAGGAGACAAAAACCATCTTTAATTGGCAACATGATGAAAAAAATTCATAAAAAAATAAAGAAAAACTTAAATTCAGAGGGCCATAAAAGAAATAGGTTTATATTGACTATATCAAAAGACTATGCAAAATAAAAGATATAAAGAATAATGCAAGCTCAAATCATAATCTTGTACAATAGGTACTCACGTGATGATGGTGAGCATGACTTTCAATGGGGTAGTTGCAAACACAAAGAATAATGTTGGGAAGAATATATCAATGGCTACATGGTCTATACTGAAGCAATGTGAGTGGAGTCCCGAGGAATGTAAATGTAAGTGTGATTGCTAATGTGAATGGAAGTAAAGTGAAATGAGAGGGAAGGCAGATGTAATATTAGAGAGGTAGAAATTGATGAGTGGAATAGAGCAATAGTGAGAATGGATGGTAGTGGTAGTAGAAGGATTGTGGTGGAGATGACATCCAAGATATGAATGCAAGGATGGGTTGTAGTTGAGATAGGAGGAAGAATTGATGGTAGAGAACGTAACGAGAGTTGGGATGGTATGTGGGATGTTTATGGAGGCAAAAATGCAATTGTAGGGTTGTACATTGGCAGTTGTGAATAGAAGAAGAGGCATAGCACCATATTAATTCACATAATATGGTGTCTTATTATGTGAAATCTTACTTGAGAATGTATCAAGCACCTAGCTCTAGAAGGTATAAGAAAAGTGCAACAATAAGTCATAATAACTCTAATAGAATCATATTTAAATTATAATTAAAGCTTAATAAACATAATTAAATATTAATCAAGTTCAATTAAATTATTAAATAAATTATAAAAGGATTACAAAAAAATCCTAAATAAATTCTAATTGAATTCTAATAAAATCCTAAACAAACCTTAGAAAAATCCTAATCAAATCTTAATGAAATCCTAATAAAATCCTAGACAAATTCTAATCAAATTTTAGAAAAATTATAATCAAATATTAAATAAATTTTAAATAAATCCTAATCAAATGCTAGATAAATCCTAAACAAACCTTAATCAAATTCTAGATCCTAAAGCAACCCTAAATTTTAAATAAATTCTTAAAAAATCCTATGGTAAATTAAAATTTCCATAATTAACAATCAAATCATTGATTTCAATTGGAATTTTGCGTATCTTTCAATAACTAAGTTAGCAACAAGTACAAATGTTTTATGAAAGATTGAACTTACCAAATAGAAGATAAATCCTAAAATCCGCTTGGATGTTAACTAGCCTTCTTCTCCAATCTTAATATTGGTCTTCTTAAGTCAAAACCACTTAATTCTACTATTAAATACTTCTCAAAATTCACATATATGTTGGAAATTAAGTCTACTATCCATATATATAAATTTTACCTCAATCCAATGAGTAGATTGCTAATGATCTTAAAAACCCTTACTAACCTTCAAAATCCCATTTCTGAAATCTTAATCTACTTGAACTTTAATAATCTTCAATCTAATTGATTGATCATGCTCAAATTTATAACTTACAATAAGAATAATTATATTCATAAATCCACAAATTTTCATTTACAGATCTACTACCAAACTCACAAAATTCTCCCAAATATATATATATATATATATATATATATTTTATTTCTCAAAACCAAATTCACCAAAAACAATCTTAACTTTGTGAAGCTCTTACAAAGTTATTATAAACTCAAATTGCTCAAAACCAATGTTTAAAAAAACCTCATAAAGTCTTCTTTCAAATTCTATCCTTTGATTTGCAAAAGAACCCTAAAGTCTCTATAGGTGTGTAGTTTTGAAATAAGATCTTCTATAATATAATATTTCTTCACTCTTTCACCTATTAGCCATATTACAATATGACAATAATGGCAACAAAAATAGAGGTGAGCAAGGAGCATGAGTAGAACATAATTGCAAAAGCATTAGCACAACATTATGGGACATAAACACAACAAATGTTGTATGTATGTTAGAATATGCCAAGGGATGCAATGCACATTATGGTAATGTGTTTGAGCAATAGGAAGGGTTTGTAGCTTGAATTGCCACAACTAAGCCAAGATCATTGGGTCTTAAATAAGTGAGTTGTCAATGGAACAACAATAAAATGATATATGCAAAATCAAAGACATGCAAGAGTGGGAGTCGTAGGTGGAGGCACTGCCTGGTGCACATGCTAATGATGCAGCAAAAGAGACTAATGCAATGGTTACTGAGGGGTGTGTAAATAGTAGTTGGCATAGGTTAAACACCTTTTTTGTAGCCAACAGCATGGGTTTCTATTAATTGTTCAATGAAAGGAGTCAAAAAGTAACAAATAAAATATAGCAATTATGTTATTCTTTGCTCCAAGCTATTTTAAAAATAAAATCAGGGATTTCAAGAAAAAAATCACCTATAAAAATATTTGATTAATGGTAGTATTTATAAATCTATTAGATTTTCTGAAAGCATGTCTATTAAATCAAAATTTACTAAAATTTAAAATATGAGTGAAAAATTTAGAAACTGAGAATTGTTATACAAATATTTTTATCATAAATTTTAAAAAATTACACTAATTAACTTTCTAAGTCTTACTTATTTACTTGGACTATATTTGAAAGTTTCTATATATGGATATCAACTTTCATTTTAGTTCTTTACAATCACTGTTAATAACAAAAATAAATT